ATGTAAGGAACTATATCTTTTTTCTACGCATTCACAATTTGTTTTGATCCGACGTTATCGACGTCTTGACAACGCTTATTGTTGTATGACGTTTATTTCAAATGTTTCGCTATTTGATTTTTATTATTTTCATCACGGTGGTACCTGTCTTCGTCGACAGCATATATAATCTAGAAGAAACTTTTTTGGAATGGAATCTTTCTTTTTGGCTTCATTACAAAGATTAAAATTACACAGTTGTAACATGTGTAACATGCTAAAATGATGTGCAATCAATCCATCAAATAGTGTTATGGTTTCATATGTATGACATGTATGTATCAGCTTATTAACAGTTTGATACTACATAAAGGCAACAGTAGTAATCCGCTGTTCAAAATTCATAAATCGATTGAGAGAAAACAAATCCTGTTTACAAACTAAAACCAAGGGAACCCCACAACCATAAGAGACAAACACCGGAACAACAGAAACACTGAAGTGCAACAAAAACAAACGCAAAGGCAACATACATCGAAAAGAACTATAAAATAACAGCTTCCATATTCCTGACTTGGTACAGGATATTTTAAGAAAAAAAAAAAATACAAGACTACAATGAGGATAACATATTTTTAATCTTTCGATCATTGATAGTATGTACAACACGACCATGGGACACCATATCAGAATAAGAAGATGTTGTATGATTTCCAATGAAACAACTTTCAACCATGGCTTGCATTTCCAAATTTGAATTCCTTGCTTGAGGGTTGCTGCTCACAAGGAAACTAATAATCAAACCAAGAGTTTCAAGAGGTGAAGTTGAAATCATCCCTCAGTTAGTTTTACGGACTCCATAAAGAGTTGGTTGACCGTTATGTAATATCTGTTTCGTAGATGATAGCCGATATAACTTCAATCCCATTCCCTTTTTTTCCCGAATTAGACTTTTTACCGGTTTCTACAAACACGAAAAAACACGACGGTTGCCATAGGTGGTGCAAGATCTGCTTACCTTTCCGTAACACCTGAGATCAACCCCAGTTTTTGATGAGGTATGTGTTGCTCAGACTCGAGTTTTCTATATTCTGTTTTACCTGTATTGTTTGTCTTTTTCTTGTTTTACCCATGACGTTGTAAGTCATCTTCAACTTAATAGTCTTAATATCCCTTTGGTATCTTTCGCCAATCTTTTAGACAAAACAACAACTAGGACAACATGTTTTTCATCTCGTTTGCATTGATAGTATGTACAACAAAATCATATGTCCATGTGACACCATATCAGAATAAAAAGATGAGATATGATTTCCAATAAAACAACTTTCAACCAGAGACGTAGTAATGTAATAGTTAACTATTGTTTATCGGACAGCCTTCAACAAGGAGCAAATTTCATACCACATGGTAAGTTATAAGAGGCCCCGAAACGAAACAACAAATGTAAATCAACTCAAACGAGACAACTTACGGCCTGATAACACTTTTTCCGTGTTCTATTCAATGAACAATAAAATAGGAGTCAATACCTAAATCTGTACAAATAGTAATTTTGTATGGTTGTTTTGAAAAAACAAACTTCTTCGAGCCGATCAATATGATCATAATTCCACTCCGAAATGTGATATATCATGGTCCTCAGTTCAGAACACCTCAACAAATTAATTGGAACCATAACTTAAAAATAATTAAGGCTTTTATTGACGCCTACGACAAAACATTGGCTGAATTGGAAAAGGTCGAATTGGACGATTTGTCAGAAAGGGTAAAAACACTAAGGTATCTCATAAAACGACGTATGTATAAGTTTAAAAACTAAATTATCAACCAAAGTTCATTTTCAGAGACAAAGAAGCTGTAAAATTTCTATCATCACTTCACGAAAAATAGGTTGTTGCTCCTGTGGACAAAGCTTCAAATAATATTATTTTGTATGTAAATTGTACTACTAAGAGTTTCTTGTACAAGAATTAGTAAAATTGGAAATAAACAAGCACTCAGTCAATCCAACATACAAGGATGATATTTTGCGTAAGTCCTTCATGACTACAATGATCATTACATTCAACAGCAAATCTGAGGACTTACCTTGTTTGTATTGGATACATAAACTTCACCAAAGATGAAGAACTGAATCTTCAATCAGGATAGTAATCCGTATTTTCTCCTTTTCGTTTCTTAGCGCTGTTTGAACTCAAACGGGAGCAATAATTGGCACTGTGTGAAAGCAACCTAAAGTGAGGAGGGGAAACCGTTACAAGAGACTTAGAAATATATAAGCGACTGGAATTTCTTTGACTAATTTTCGACTTGGAGTAAAAAAAGGGGGATGAGAGTTGGGAAGACAATTTGGAATCAATCAAAGTCTAACTACTCATTTTACCTTGTCTGTTTTCACAAAGGTCATAGAACAGTCATCCATGAAAAGAACACATAACAATAAATTATCAATTCTTAAATACATAAGGCATACATTTAAAACAGTCTATTATGAATGGAAAGCATATGACTAAATTTCCAATATGTTCCGTTTAGAATGCTGTTCTAAGACATATACTTGGTCTTGGCTTTGATCTCAGATTATATAAAACATCAAAAAAACATCACCAAACTATAAAAAAAGACAGTCTGATCTAACTCAAATTCCATAAATGATCTTTCTCACAGTGATTAATTTGATCCGTTATAAATCTATTATAGTAGTTCTTGCCTTAAAAAGGCATTTGCATGGTAAAGACTGAATCTTATATTTCTTACTATATTAGACACTAAAACATGTAAAAGTCAATTAACTAAAGTGTGTAATATAAATAATTCATTTGTCTTTTCATGAGAAGTATTTGGATAGCGTGACAGACATGATGAAGTACCCAACAGTAAAAAGTTAAGATAGAAAATTTCAATCAATGACCCAGACGCTAGTTGACGATGTATTATTTAGAGTCCAAAAGGAATTTCACTGCACAGATGATGCAGATTGTGCAGCCGACATGATACTGCAATATAGGAGCAGTCATTTGATTATCAAAAAAAAGGGGGGGGGGGGGACATGTGTAGTCCATTTTAATTGTGATCAAATCAGAACAGAAAGCTTTCTTATTTTAAAGTTCTTTACGCATTTAAAAAAAAAACTGCCCCTTCTCCTCACTTTTCCGGTCTCCTAATGATCTCCCCCTTATCATAGACTGCTGTGGCTTTATTCATGACATTTATTTTGTTGTCTGCTCAAACAAATTTTCAACTTCTTTGGATTTGCAACAGTTTTCGAGGTTGGATCCAAGTTTGAGGAAACGTTTGGGTGTAAGTTTCTATAATTGAAGTAGTTAATATACCCGAGCGTAAGCTATTCTAATATGACGACCTATTATCGTCAACCAGTATAATCACAACATATCTACCTTTAGCGCAAACGCAGTAATACACAAAAACGGCTGTTCCGCGTTACAACGTACCAACTTATTTATAATTCTAGATATTCTCAATTTTCGACACCAAAACCCCCGGTTTACGTAGGCAAAGATTCAGATACAATATATTTATCTCTATTCTACAGCAAAATGAACAAATCAATCCATTTCAATTCATTTTTCATGTTAAAATTTAATAAAACATAAATTCCGCGAGATGATGTTATTGTCTTGGCATATGGCAACGAAACAAGGTGACGTCACAAATATGTTTCCGTAAACAAAAAAATAAATGTAAATACCGGGCGTTTTAAAGCTTCTTGTACGCCTCAGAACGAATAAAATTGCATTGGAAGAAAATATATAAGTGAAAAATGCGATTATAAAATAATAATCATTGAATTATACAATATTACAGAGGATGTGTATAGTATGATATTCTTGATATTACTAATATTATCAAAAGTTGGTGAAACGGAACAGTCAAAACAGTATCGTAAAAGGCTTTTACGGTTAACAAAATTACCGATCCCGTACACTTGATAAAAATTTCCATATAGACTATTTTTTACCTAATTTAATCAAATATATAATAAAAAATATACCTTCATTTGCTACTTTTTGAGTAAAATGAGGTCGAAATTTTGTATATTTGCTCAAAATTTGGATTTGTGACCGTATTTTCCCTTTCGAAAGAAAGACATAACTTTTTTGTTTTAAAAGATAAACACAAATTGTTTTTTGTTAAATAATTTGTAATTTCTGTATTTTATAAGTATCCTAAAATTTATACATTTTTTATTCAGAAATAAGTCATATTTATCAAATGTTCATGAATGTAGAAAAAAACATCATTTTTTGCTGTATATTTATCAAATTAAAAAAAAATGCAGTATTTAAGTTTTCATAAAAATTTGCACACATAATCTTCTCGCATAATCAAATCAAATGGCATTTTAAAAAAGAGGGGTCTATGAACTCGTTTTAAATTAAATAAATTTGAATGATAAAAATCGGTAAAACTGAATCTTTTCCCGATAAGTCATAGTTTGACGTCGCGAAAATAACAATTTACGTTAGCAACGTCATTATCTCCCCTGTAACTGTATCGTATGCCCTTAAGGTGGTACCTAACACTACAGGGAGATAACTCTGTAAAAATCAGCTAAGCGTTTTAATTACGTTGTATTGTTAAGGAAATATTAAGCTTCTCAATGATCAAAATTAGTGTTTGTCAAACTGCTATATAACCAATGAAATTTTTCTGATAAAGTGGTTGGTTCAAATTTTTTGAAATTTTTATGTTTTTGTCAGAGGGTCAAAGTAAACATTTTGTCAAAATTTTATGAAAATTAAACGAGCCAAATTAATATTAGTCAAGGTGTTGGGTACCACCTTAATAGACTACTGACTTATTTTTAAAATACGTATCGACGACAAACAATATTCCTACGACTTTTGCCATTTGGGAAATGTAAACGACTCGTCTTTAGAGATTTTCGTGAGATTGCTAACAAGACCGGACGGACACACGGACAGACAGACGGACGGACGCTCAGTATTTCCATGTGCCCCGCAACGTGTTATGAGGGGGGAAAAATGAGATGCAACAATACTATTACTTTTTATTATTAAATATATATATTAAATCATCACCTAACTATATAATACATTAGAAACAAATATAAAGGATTCAGAAACATACACATAACTTAGTAGCCTTAAGTTATTATTCTATTTATAATCATAGTGTTTAAGCTATAAAGGGATTCAGTAGGAATAGCAAGTCAACACTGACTTTGTTTTCACATTAATGTACTTGTATTGGAAGTCATATTCAATTTCTATATTACTTTCAAACCTTTAAAAAATAAAAGGAAAGAAACATATGTCCAAAAAACATGAAAAATATGCAAACTCATAAAAAATATTAAAATTGTTAGCTCCATGGAACCTTAATTGCACACTTGGAAAATATGCATGATAATGACTCAGTACATTGTTCTGACAACATATCTGGTTGAAATTTACCGTAGAAAAAAATGATCATAACTGTGCTTGTCTCCAAAGTTTAATATACATAAGGTTTAACTGACTGACGTAATGCAATTTATTGTTATTTTGATTAATTCCTGAAATCGCATTTCAGCTGTAATAGCATTTCAAATTATGAAAGCATATGTATTTTAAGCTCAATAGGTTATATCTTACCCTTATTTAATTATAAAATGTAAGATGAGGTGGAAGAGTATTTAGATCACAGATAATAAACTTAATCACTTTTGAGAATTATGTAAGATTACACAATTTAAAAAAGAAACATCTCCTTTCATCAAAGTATATATCGTAACAAAAATGTTAAATTTAAGGCAAACAGTATATTTTCCCTTCTAAAAAGCTTGAACAACAAGGATAAAAATTGAGACTTGCAAATCATCCCTAAAATAGTTTACAATATTGAAATATGATGTTTATTTTTCAATTTTCAATTTACACAAGGACAAAAAAAGTCAAATTTAAATATTTATCTGCAGAATGCCACAGAGCATAGCAACAGAAATGATAATATTAATTGTGCATACATCAAACACCAATCTTCATCGTGCTGTGTAAGTTCTACCATGCCTGTGAAAAGTCAATTAGTAAATATGTAAATATATATGTAAATGTGGTAAGTGAGATACATTTGATATATAAAATGTTAATTAGTGAAACGGTTAACTCAAAAGTTAAAACTGATATTCATGTAATTTTCTTGCTGAATTTTTTTTTTCTAGAAAATGTCAAAATTATATTAACAATAAATGTTCTCTTAAGTTCAATAATGACTGAATCTTTATGTGGTGTTGCATTTTATATTAATATAGAGAGCTCAAATACATTGTAAAACTTATGAGTTAATCTAGTGTTATGATATTCTATGAATATGCAGTGAAACCTGTTAAAACTGAACCCTGTCTCAACAGAAAACTTTTTCCTCAGCACATACACTGACTATTCTGTAGACAAGTAGTCTGTATAAATCAAAAATAAGTCTAAGACAACCAAAGTCATCAGTTCTTGTGTCTGGTCTTTTAAAACAAGATTCACTGTACATCAACACACAAAAGCTAATACAACTGTTACATTGAAAACCATAGGTTGCTCTTTTAAAAGTACATCTAATAAATTAAACTTCTTAAGAAATGATAGACACTGTACTCAATATTAAATAAATATTGAAACAATATTCTTATCCAGTCAGTATGGCCATACAAATGTGTTGTAAGCAGATTGGACTACTGCATGTACAAAAAAAGTTCCATGAGTAGGTATAATATCGATGTAATCTGAAGCCAGATTTTGATAGCTGATTGGGTAGAAGGTTTTAATTTGTAAAATATTAATTTTACATACCCAGACGTCTTGTTTCCCTAATCTTGACAACTTTGAATTTTTTTTCAACACATTCCAAGCTTTCTAAAATGTTATCAACAAGGGAGATACACTGTTTTGCATGGACCAAGTAACAAACTAAGTATCAAACAGAAGCAGATTGGTTTTTTTTTTTTTTTGGGGGGGGGGGGGTAGGGTGGGCAAGGATCCCCGGCTCCCAATTGTGGAGCTTCATATTAGATAAATACATAGACTTTTTACAAGTATCACTCCAAACATTGGTTTGCCAGGTCCCCTTATTTCAAAATCCTGGATCTGCACCTGTCAGTTATGACATTTATAGATAATAACTGAGGGCAAACTCTGCCATTCCTTTTTAGTGATCTGTAACCTCTTTTGTGACTTCATTAGATATGGTTGCTGTTGAAGGAGCACAATGAACACAAAAAAGTAATAGTAAATGAACTGCACAGAGCCAAAATTCATTTGGAGCAAAGTAAAAATGAGACCAAGCATAAGATATGTTGTATGATTATTAAAAAAAAATGTGAATGAACATTTGTGTTATGAAGAGTTACAGAAAACATTGCTGAACACTGGCGAAAAGTAACTCATAGACAAGTAATTTTCATAGAATGTCACTAAATTTTTAAGTCGATAAGGGGTAATCTTCATACTTAATTTAATAAAGCTCTGATTTTAGTTCCTAAGAGAAATGTGACAAATATTCCACGAGTCAGGATGGAAAGACATAGGTTAACCATAGTATACCCATACTTTGGAGCAAGGATTAGGAAGTGTGTGAGAAATAATTCTTTATGAGAGATAGAGTTTCTGTTTTCATTGCATCTATTGCACACAAAAGGAAATCAGTTATACAACAATATAAAGGACTATGCATGTACCTCCTTAATATATTCTTGTTTCAAAGACCAATTTTAGGAGAAATAGTCCACAAAGAAGCATCATTGCCAAGAAAAGATAATCCTTTTTTACCAAATAAGTTCATAGAAATAGTCCATCTAAGAGCCGCATTGCCAAGCATAGGTATCCTTTTTTTTAAGCAAGATTATACCATATATGAGCTGCGTCAGATAGAAAACAACCTAATGAAAATGAATATAAATACATCTGTTAACTTATTTCAGGTAAAAAAAAATTCTATGCAAAGTCTGTAAGTGTTTGAAAATTCAGTTGATATAAGAATCTACAAAACATATCAAAATTCATTTTTTTATATTTCGTATTTAAATGTTTTAAAATCAATCAAAGTCTTATACAAGAACATGTATATGGGTGCTTGAATAAGGTTGATTTCTATAGGATGTAGCTCATATAGTATATATAAGTTTGCTAAGCTAAAAAAAAAAAAAATACAGTGCAATAAACAACACTTAAGTTAGTGTATTAAAAAAGATACTGTTATTATGGGCTTTTCAATAAAAAGTTATATGCAGTCTTTGAAGTCATTGGAATAGAAATGTCTTTTGATAGTTGGGTATAGAACATATTGCAGCATTAAGTATATGGTATACTATTGCATCTTTGGTTGCTTTTTTTAAAAGTGCACTTTCAAAGACCCTAATATACCTTTTTTTCTAGAACAGCCCTTAGTAACGAATTATGAGGTGCATATATTGGTAATTTCTAATGAAATGATTGTTCCCAACCTCCTACTAGTATCATTTTAAAACAACACATGTAAATATGTAACACAAATGTTTAAATGGAAAAGTTTTTAAATTATAATAAATAAGATGTGTTCAACAATTTCCTCAATCAATTGGACAAACAATTTTCTTTCAGATAATAATTATTTGAAACAGAGTATAGCTATGTCACACAAAAATAAAACTGAACATAAAGGGTCTTATCTATCTCTTTCCCATACCCTATCTTTTCCTTTGTCAGACAAAAATAAAATACATGAAAAATATTTTTATAAAAAACGTATAACTAAAACAACCTTTCAGATCAATATACTGTAAATTCAGATTTATTGCGATCATTTCTTATTGCGATTTCAACATGACAGACCAAAATGTGATAATAATTATTACTATTACAGAAAAAGCTGCATACTAATATTGCAATACTAACTGTAAATTCCCATTATTTGCAATAATAAAAACCTTGAAATAATTTCTGAATATACAGCATGCGATAAATAAGTGATTCTATGCAGCTTTAAAATTTCCAATCATTTGATCCCAGAATACCTACTTCTGAGCACACATTAATGTTAAGTTTTGTACTGCTGTTAGTGTAGAGAGATCGTTCTGTCCTGTAATAAGATGTCGGTCTATAATCACATGTACTGCATCACAGTCACTACCTACAATAAAGTCAAACTCACTGCTTTATCATGTTGTAAGTAATGGACTTCTATCAAGTATCAAACAATATCATAATCAAAATAAAAGAGATTTGATGTGTTAGCTTGGCCACTTCACTCACATGCTAACAAAAAAAGTCTGAAGGATTTTATGTTAAGTTTGTGAGTTCACAAATCAATAAATTCTATGTAAAATATAACTTTATAGTTCCAATAAAATGCACTAAAATTGATGTTAAGGTAGATGGGGTGTCTAAATTATAATCCATAGAATTTTTTAATAATTTGCCAAAATGTAGTTTATATCATGCTTTTTAAAAAAAAATAATAAAAAAAATGGGTCACGGGGCTTATTTTCACGCTACAGGTTGTGCAAAATTGACAGATTTTGTATAGATTATGCATGGAAACCCAATTTTCTGCCATAAAACAAAAACTACACCATAGAATTTTGAGATAAAATATGAGAAGACAGCTCTAATAGTATGCTTTCAGATAAGAAAAAGAAAAAATGAGGTCACGGGACTCGTTTTCTTGCTACATAATAAAATAGGTAAATTCCTAACACATTCTATTGTAAAAGTAACTTTATCTGAATTATCTGCCCTTACATTTGAGTTGCCTCCCCTTATGTGACGAAGTTTGAAAAAATAGAATCAAACAAAAGTATTCTGTTTTTTTGTAAAATACAACCATAAATATGATAAAATAGGTCATTTTCTATATTGGAATGAAAATTCTTACACATGAATTACCTACTACTCACAAAACTTGCACCTTTTATTAAAGATCTAGACCGATTGTTTTCTGGTATTTCAAAATCCAAGATGGAGGAAGACACCCTATCTACCTTAGTTTCGAAAAAAATTTCATCAAGTTACAGTTTTGTCAGTGTAGGAATTCATACTTGCGATGTCATGAAATGAGTTTATACATGTATTAACTCTTTGGTTGCCATGATGCTACTAAAGCCAATGGAAAAAGATTTAAAATACAACAATTGGATTATTTTAAGAATCTTTATGATGGGAGTATTATAAATTTAGTTTAATTTTGCACAATATATAATGTCCGATAAAGTTAGACTTATTGGATTCATCCATAATGCAACATAAAATGACTTTGAAAATTACGAAATAATGTGTAATTTGGACTTTGAAATAGAAATTTCCAGATTGTCCATGATTTAAATCACTGCATAGTTTGTACAAGTCAAATTGAGAAAAGAATAATCTTCAACTCACTTTTAACAATTTTTGTGATAAATTCATTGACTGATATTAAGTAAATGATTAGAAATCAATATTTCTATTTACATGTTCCTTAATTATCAAATCATTTCGAGTTATGCCCTATCAGGTCAAATTTCCCAAGCAAAAACCTCTCACTTTCACATTTTTCATAAACACATTCATATACCAATTAGTTTTAAAGCAAATTTAAATTGGTGCTTCAAGAAACTGTCAAATGATAAGTTTTGAAATGACCAAACTTACTACAATCTATACATTCTAATTAAGTTAATTGATCACAAGCAAGAGTATTTTGATACAAACTCACTTAAAGTTAACCAATATAAGCCATTATGAATTGTATCCCCTTTATTAATTCTATTGTGCATTCTTTGTATCGATCTATCTCCCTCATTGTCCTTTGTTAAATTATGTTAACTATGTTGGTTGCAATGAACTTGCATAAACTTAACATCCTTTATGACATACTTTTTTTTCTCCATTAACCTGTAACCTATTGTATATTTTTTCTAGCTTTGCTACATGATGTTCAACAAAACTTACAGTTGTACTTTCCACCAAGGTCTTTTATTGTGTCTTCTGTTATAAGTGGTAATGATGAGAAATCAGCACTTTTTGCTAGTTCATATACTGATGGCTGAAACAATATATTACTATAGATACTATTAGCAGATTAGTGACACTAAATATGAAATATTAAAATAATTCAGATTTTGAAAGTTCTTTAATTCTTTTTTCCTCTTGTTTCCTAATCACAATCTTTAATTACTTTTCGTTACTTTTTCTTTTGTATTATTTCGTTTTTTGTACAGGATAAATTCATAAATAAAATATGTGAACACTAACTTGTCTCTAAATTCATATTAAGAATCAAATTCAAGGAAAGAATTCACATAATAAAGTATCAAAAAGGACTCTAATATTTCAGGTATCACAAAATAAAACGTAATCGTTTCCGAATAAGAAAAAAATTTATTACCCCTGTTAAACTATAATCTTCAAAGGACCATTGTTTGTTTTCTTCTTTTGCACAAAACAAAGCAGCTACTCCCAATCCTATTGCACATATTGATTCTGAAAAAAAAATTTGATTCATAAAAGGCTGTATCAGAAAATAGGTATTAAAAATAGTATATTTGATGGAGTTAATCACAAAAACATGGATCAAAGACTCAAATGGCAAGGTTGCACTAATTATATATGCTGTATTCTGAGTATTTACATAAAATAGGTACAAATGTTTGGCCTGCCGACACAACCACCCATCCCCATAACATCACCATACTATAAGCCAGTTTTGAACAACCCAGCCAAAATCAAATTTACAAGACTTACACTTTTAAAACCCTGATAAAGGAAGAATTATAACCAACCTGTATAAGGTTTACAAAACCAATTACTACAAGTCATAAGCTGTTAGTGCCTACTAAGAATTCAACTGACTTAATTGTGATACATAAAATTTCAAGGTTTAAAGAATTTTTGCTCTTCATATTTTCAAATTTTCGTTAATATTATTAAACTCTTCTTGATTTTTTTCCTAGGCAATGCATTGAAAATTTTTACAATGCTAATCCATATTTCCTAATTTATTTTAATAAATCTCCAATAAACTCTTTTTTTAGCTCACCTGGCCCGAAGGGCCAAGTGAGCTTTTCTCATCACTTTGCGTCCGTCGTCCGTCGTCGTCGTCGTCGTCGTCCGGCGTCGTCTGTTAACTTTTACAAAAATCTTCTCCTCTGAAACTACTGGGTCAAATTTAACCAAACCTGGTCACAATCATCATTGGGGTATCTAGTTTAAAAAATGTGTCTGGTGATCCGGTCAACCAACCAAGATGGCCGCCATGGCTAAAAATAGAACATAGGGGTAAAATGTAGATTTTGGCTTATATCTCTGAAACCAAAGCATTTAGAGCAAATCTGACATGGGGTAAAATTGTTTATCAGGTCAAGATCTATCTGCCCATAAATTTTCAGATGAATCGGAGAACCTGTTGTTGGGTTGCTGTCACTAAATTGGTAATTTTAAGAAAATTTTGCAGTTTTTGGTTATTATTTTGAATATTATTATAGATAGAGATAAACTGTAAACATCATAATGTTCAGCAAAGTAAGATCTACAAATAAGTTGTCATGATCAAAATTGTCAGTCGACCCCTTTAGGAGTTATTGCCCTTAATAGTCAATTTTTTACAATTTTTTGTAATTTTTTGTAATCTTTTACAAAAATCTTCTCTGAAACTACTGAGACAAATTTAACCATACTTGGCCATAATCATTATTAGGGTATCTAGTTTAAAAAATTTGTCCGATGACCCCGCCTTCCAACCATCATGGTCAATTTGGTTAAAAATAGAACATAGGGGTAAAATGCAGTTTTTGGTTTATATCTCTGAAACTAAAGCATTTAGAGCAAATCTGACAGGTGGCAAAAATGTTCATCAGATTCAGATTTATCTCCCCTGAAATTTTCAGACGAATCCGACAACCTGTTGTTAGGTTGCTGCCCCTGAGTTAGTAATTTTACAAAAATTTTGCAGTTTTTTGTTATTATCTTAGATATCATTATAATATCTAATATCTAATACAGTAGACTCCGGCAAATCGGATACCCAAAATGTCAGCTAAAAATATCCGATTACCCGATATATTCAATTAGACGATGAATGTATATTCATTAAATATTCTGCAATAATGAGTAGGTATAATCCTGAGATGTTACTAACACTGACAATTGCTAAATATGTGAAAGGGCTGGAGGATTGATGGAGTGATTTTTATCAGTTACATCACCACGATGTTTGTGTAAAAAATTATCAGCTGATTATGTAATGATTAAATTTGTTTGCAGTTTTTAAATCCTTTATTTATTAAAATAAATCAAATGTCCTGAAATATTTATGTGAATTATTATCTACCATCCATAGTTTGTCTTTATTTGTTTTGTAAGCAAATTAATATCCATTATTTACATTATCACACAGGTAAACTAATTTGGCTATAAATAGATCTAAGCATGTCTGTGTAGAATCTTCAAACTAAAATCGTATTTGTTATAATTTTATTTCTTTAAATAATCAAATTTAAATAAATTTTTGAAAATAATCATGATTGATAAAATATTATTGCATAAAGTTTACGGTTTCTGAAGACTATTTATATTTAGGTCATAGTTCTAGAGGCTTCCTCACAAATTTGTAAACATCCAAAATGGCGTCCATGACATGTGGTTACTTATGCACATGTGAAAAAAATATATCTGACAAAAGTCAGATTTCTCTTGTCAAAAGGGATTTATATTTATATTGCAATAAATTATTCAGAAGGAGGTACATTCAGTTTAGATTATATTTCTGATTCTGTGAACATTTAGTGTTTAATCAAAATTCTCAGCAACGTCAACTTGTCAACTGAGTCTTGCATATTTTATAAATAAATTCAAACCATTTGAAGTAAAAGGGCATCTTATTCACATGACAAAGGAATACAATGATTAAAGACAACAATTTATTAAGAAATAGTTCCTTTTATTTAAGAAAAAACAAAATCTTCTTGTCTGCAAGATTGTAAATTCGTAACTTCCGGGTCCATTTCCTGTCAGAAAAACATTGAAAATATCCGATTGTGCATGGTTTTGAACAAAATGACCTGAATATTCTTATCCGATTTGCCGATATATTCTTATATCCGATATTCGATTACACGATAAAATTAACATTAAACATATAGGGAAGGGTTTGGTGTTTTGAAATAATATTACAATAGCCGATATATTCGTTTAGCCGATATCCGATTAGGTGGAGTCTACTGTATTATTAATTATGATTTTAACCTTATTTTACATGATTTCCAAAGCATCAGTAAATACAGGTGAGCGACACAGGCTCTTGAGAGCCTCTAGTTTTATTTCTGTAACAATTTTATACAGTTAACAATTCATTTCTCTTTAAACCAAATACTTCACTACATATGATTTGATTTTGATTTTGGTGTTTTAACGCCACTTTTAAGCACCGCTTTTGGGCTATTTCTATGCGGCCAGTTTTTATTGGTGGAGGAAGCCGGAGTGCCCGGAGAAAACCACCGACCTTCACTAAATATGAAGACAACACAATTGAAAAACTTGCCTGAATCTGTCAAGATGTATTTCAAAGTGAAAGGTCAATTTAAAGTGTCAACTCTATAGCAGAAAGGGGCATATTTTATATCATGTACATAGCAAGGCTTTAAATATTAAAATCTCCAGTGCAAATGCAATAAAAAAAAAATCTAGAAAAAAAATAAGATATTTAACAAATATTGAAACCATATCTTAATTGGTTAATGTTACATTTTCAGAACCGTTCCTTACTTTTCTCTTTAACAAAATGTCTAATAATGACAGCTAAGTCTTCATTGTTTGTTAAATCATGTAAAGCACCAGGAGCAGCAGGTATCAATAATGCTGAATATCTGTTCGCTGGAAGATAAAATAAAGAGTGCATAAGGGAATGAATGTAATTGACCACTTTCGAGTAATGTCATTCACCAGAAAAGCTAGTTCATCAGTTATGCGCACCTTTATGACATCATTTACCAGATAGAGGGCCCGCCTGTATCCCTGCACTGTTAAAGTTCATCAAGCGTCTTTGTGATCGTTATTATACAGGATAAACTAAATATAATTTTTCTTGCGTAGGAACTTAATCACAAATTCCTAATGACAGCAGTATTGATTATCAATTATAAGAATTTAATTTGCTGAATAATTCATGCAATATAGCATCATATTTTTCCAACCACTTGCTCAACATGGGAAGGAAGTGACAATGCCCTTAAACACACAAATGATATTCACTAAAACCAATGTTTTTGACTGAAATGCAACGAACTCGAAAGTGGTTTATTTGTAGAACATTTTTTTGTTCATTTATATTACACAGTCATACAAACAAAATCAATTTGTCTCTGACCTAAGTTCTAAATGTGAAAGACGATGATGGTCATCTGTTATGGCTGTTTAACCGGTGCTTTGCTATTGCGTCAATTGGCATGTAATATAAAATACAACTTTGGATTCATTATTATTCGTGGGATATCAATTTATGCAGATTTCATGGGTAAAGGTAAAGCACAAATTTAAATGCTTATTTAACCAAATACAAGTTTTCTAATGGCTTTTATGCAGACTTTGGGAAAACCACGAAATCAAATACCCACGTGCGAAATTACAATTTTCCTAAATTCACAAAAAATTAAGACCTAAGAAAATAAATGAATCAATAGTATATACCTTACAACAATCAAGGTCTTAGTGTTGTTGTTTTTTTTTATATATTGAACAATGACCAAATCAGTTTAGTCAGGGATCATTAATTAATATCAGAAAAACACAAAATGATGTATGTAGTGTTTAAAAATATGTGTAAATTGATATTTTTTGAATTGTTTGAATGGAAGCAAGGCTTCCAAAACGGTCATATATTCCGGACATTTGTATAATGTCTGGTAAAAGTCCGGCTGGGCAAAGTATGAAACGGTCATCTACTTTTAAGTTTTCAAGGCTTTCTTAAGAGACGGTCATTTTAACATAATTTCGCGATCTTTTTGACCCAACCTTTTGTCTTTAACAGCCACACATTTGTGGTCATAAAAGTGACATGATCATTGAGTACTATCAAAACAACCCCTACTTTAATACCTTCTTATTTTAATCAAGGCTAATTAGTTGTCGAACAGCTGAAATTTACCTGTTCAGGTGACAGGTAAACTATTTTGAACCGGACATTGATCCGTCTATTCAAAGTTATTTTCTTACATTTCAGCGGTTTGCATCTAATTAACTAGTCAAAAAGATTTAAAATATCAGAAATACGTTTACAAATATGATTTGATGAAAAAATTAAAAAGGTGAAAATGAAAAATCGTCATAACCACGTTGTTTGAACCACAGACATGTCTCTCTTTGAACTAGTACACGTGTGCGCATGTGCGCAGGTGTGAAATTTAATTATGCATCCTAATTTCTTCAAAAAATGCTTAAATTTTCATTGATACCTTTATCTCACGTTTATTTCGAATATTTTCTTGAAGAAATAACGTAGAAAGAGCTACGTACACTCATTCATGCTTTGCAAACGTACACGGAATTTACGTATCCGTCTCTGGTCCATGTTTTACCATTGTCAAGATAACATCCGGTATAAGATTTAAACGAATGTAAAGTTTTTGACAACGTTATTTTGCACAAATAAAGAGTCTAAGGCAGATATAAGTACGCTGATGTTGCACACTTCGAATGATGCACTGCCAATTTAACAGTTTACGTCAGAACTTCGAATTTGAATCAAAGAAAGTTTAATATCGTTTTTTTTTTAATGTCAATCATTGGGATGGCCAACTCAGCAACTGAATACCATAATTGCCTTTTGTTTATTTAGTCTTAAAGGATTAAAATCGGGATAATATATAAAATGGCCGGCTGGCTAAAAATAATTTTGGAAGCCCTGAATGGAAGGCCTAGAATTGAAAATAAAGATATCTTCATTTTTCTGTTTCAATACATACTACTTATGTTGTGTAACATATCAGGTACAAAATAGAAATTAAAAGGAAAGAATGAGTTATCTCCCATAGTTTTCCAAATAATTTCTTTCAAAAAGATACTATCTAATGGTGTACACAATAGTGTGTTTGAAATGGATGGATAATTTTTTTTTTTGGTCTGTAACACTGGTATTTAAAGACAATATTTTGTTTTGGTTTTCTTGAGCATCATCATTAAACCGACAGCTGTGTCTACCTTATTAACTAACTTCCTTAAGTAGCAAAAATATTGTGACCCTTCATCCAAAATTATGTGCCTTCTTTTATTTCCTTGTTCAAGTCAGTGGGCATTTGGTTGATAGGGGGCTGTGAAGATTTTTATTGTATGAATAAAGAAAATGTTGCTTATAAGTCAATGAGACAGCAACCCAATGACAAAAATAACCAAAAGACATTTATTTTACTGTACCACAAATGGACAAGATAGGCAAAAGTAGAGGTTTGTCCGCAGGTAAAGCAGATTTACCCCACACATTTTGTACCAGTGTATCAAATCAGGCAAAAAATAGAGAATGGAAACTGGGAATATGTCAAAGAGGCTACAACCCAAACAATAAGTAGAAAACAGCCCAAGACCACCAATGGGTCTTCAAAGCAGCTAGAAAATCCTGCGCCGGGAGGCAGTTGCAGTTGGCCCCTAAACAATAATCTATACTAGTTTGGCAAAATGGATACATAAGTTATTTTTTCATTTGACTACCACGAGATACAACTTCACTGGATACTTATTTGCCAAAAAGCAACACAACAGGTGCCAGTACCTGAACAGAGACTGCTTAATACCCTTTTAAACCACCTGTTTCCTCCTCAGTTTTTATTGTTGTTCAATCTTTGGTTTTAGGTGTTTTGTTTTTTTACTTGTCTTTTTATGTATTTCTGTTGCCCATGGTCCCATTCATATTTTTACAACTTTGAATGCGTTTTTGTTCTTCTTGTCATAATAAAAGTTGCAAATTAAGAGTTATTCAAAGCAAAAACTCATTAAAGATACTTAATGCATTTTTTTCTACCCAACATTTATCAGTGGCACAGGAATCCAGTATTTTTTTGTTATTTTAACAAGGTAAATTGTCACAGTAAGGTGAAAATTTTGGTATGTGGTTTTGATTAACAATTTATCTAATTGAGTAAAGTCTTAATAAATTTGACCTTATCTTTATGACAATTCTCTTACGGTCAATAGTCTCTAAGCCTATTGGTGTGGAGACCGATTTACTTCTAAATTCATTAAACCATCTTCTATTGTTGTCATCTTGTTGAATAAACTCTATATTCTTCCCCTGAAATGAAGCAAAGATAAGAATGCACTACATTTAAGGGATTGTACTCAGCAGTCAAGGGTATAACTTAAATAAGTTATTAGAGAAAATAACATGCATGTTGTTATTACAGTTAATTTCATGAGTTGTCGACTCTTTGTTTCTAAAATTGTCTTCATCTGTAGTAACATTATCCTTTGTTATTTGTTAAATAATAATAAATATTTTAATTTTTGGTGGGCACTATAGAATTCTTGAAACTTTATTTTTTCTGTAAAAACATAGGTGTACTATGCATGATTGGTAAACTATGAACTGTTGTACCTTTCTAAAGTTTAGTATACTTAAAGACAATAATAATATCAATAGAATTTGTAAACATTTTAACAAAACAAATGATGTGTGTTGCAACTTTGAAACATGTAACATACATATGTTATCACAGTTTTTTTTTATATTTTAGCCCACAATAACGACATGTATGTTATTTTTTCTAATAACTTATTTAAGTTATACCCTTGACTGTTCAGCTCTTATTTTATTTATTTTATCAAATTTCTACAGGACATTTGTAATGTAAATAAACTTATCTGTATTAACTACAACATGTACAATATACATTAGTTTGTTATCAGCTGAAGGTTTTGAAATGATAAAAATTTATATACTTATTATAAATCATTAATATCTACTTAGTACTTCTTTTAATTTGACACCCACAATCACATGACAATTTCATCAGTTTATGTTGCCTTCTACATTTCAAGCACAAATAAGCAAATAAAAAACGCAAGACGAGCTCACAAATTATGACAGTTAAATAATTGGAGATGCACATCACAGTTAACTAATAATGTTTATTCTGAAATTATTAAAGCTAGAATGGACATTTTAGGTTAAAATTATGAAAGTCAAGACATGTTTGGCTTAGATCTGTCAAAGTGCACTTTCATTTTAAAGGTGGTAGGAGTGGTAAAATAAACAGCATTATACCCACTATCTGGTCATTAATACCAAATATACTCACATTAGGTGATGCTACCTGGATATTGAAGTTGGAGCTGGCCAAGTTATAAGCCTGTCTAAATGATTCTGAGGAGACACCTATAAAAATATACAAGTACACACACTGAAAATATTCAAGTAAGATATATATAAAAAATAAAATATACACTTTACACGCCATAGGCATGATATGGTCCTGTTGGTAATTTTATGAGTGTCAATCATTATCAAAGAGACTTCAATACAATCAAATGAAAAGAGACACACAGAAGTGGATTTGATCTAAAGTGATAAGCAGGAAACCGTACCATCATTTGACCATATCTCAAACTGTAAATCATTCTGAGGTGTGTATTACAATTGGCTGTTAGTTTATCTATCAAAATTTATCAAAATTTAATCATCATAATCCATAGAAAAAAAATGAATGCAATTTCGTAATAACATGACTGTGCCCTGCTTGATTTATTTCATTTCCATGTCCAGGGGAGGCTGAACACTAGGTCAAATAAATAATTTGGCATAAATTCATAACAAGTTGAACATCTTCATGATCATAATGAAAATGTCAATTTTCATGTGAACCAAGTTTAAGTTGGTGAATAGTTGTCTCATTAGCAAATATATTAAACAATTATATCTCTGATTTTTATACTTTAAGGAAAAGTATTAAGTATTAGTAATTGAACATTATTTCATATGTTGATCTTGTTTGCACAAAGTCAAAGACAGCAAGCCATTGCAGTTGGAAATAAAACATTTGCAAAGAAGCCTGTTTTTAATAAACAGTCAGCAAAAATATCTTGTGATGAGATTGTCTAACTTTTCGGTATTGATATTGACTATCAACTTAATTTTAATCACCACATTAAAAATATTTGTTGTAAAGCATCTCAACAACTGAATGTTTTAAAGCGCATAATGGCTGCTACCTTAATAAATTAAATACATTGATCATTTTCCAAAAATTCATTTTATCGAATTTAAATTTTTGTCCTTTGGCATGGCATTTTTGCAACAAAAATAATACCACTAAATTAGAGAAAATTCAGGAAAGGGCTTTACGATTTATATATGAAGACAATTCTAGTTTATATGATAAACTACTTTTACAAGCAAAGGTTCCATCACTGAAAATTGGACGTATACATAACATGGCTATTGAATGTTTTAAAATTTTATATAAATTGTCACCACCATGTTTTAGTTTTATTGAAAGATTGTAAATATAATTTTAGATATTCTAATGATGTAGATATAGCTAGGGTTTGAACATCAACCTATGGTAGGAACTCTTTTAAATATACAGCTGGTGTTTTATGGAATGAATTACCTGATGATTTTAGAAAAATTGCTAATTTTAGTCAGTTCAAAATATTTTAAAGTCACGGAATGAAAATGATTGAAAGTGCACAGTTTGTGCAGATAATTAATTAATATATTATTCTAAAATTTTTACCATGTAGATCATACCCTTTTTTAAATATTTTATGCTATGCTAAGCATTTTACCAGCTTTTAATCATGCCAATTATATTATTGTTTATGGCGGATTTTGTTTGTTATTGTTGATTTTCTGAAATTGTTTAACATTTCACAGCGGTATAATACTCTTACTTTAACTATTCATCCCTTATTTTATTGATTTTGTATTTACATTGTATCATAGATCAAATTTATTCGTTCAGTGTATGTTCACTTGTGTCAATATGTCTTTTGATTGAGTTAAGCCATTTCAATTCATATTTTATAGTGTGTCTTTCTATGTTGTGATGTTACACTATTGTTTCAGATAAGGGTGAAGGTTTGGTACCATTAAAACGTTTAAACCCGCTGCAATTGTTTGCACCTGTCCTAAAGTCAGGAATCTGATGTTCAGTAGTTGTCGTTTGTTGATGTGGTTCATAAGTGTTTCTCGTTTTTTATATAGATTAGACCGTTGGTTTTCCCGTTTGAATGGTTTTACACTAGTAATTTTTGGGGCTCTTTATAGCTTACTGTGCGGTGAGAGCCAAAGCTCTGTGTTGAAGAGCGTACTTTGACCTATAACAGTCAGAGATATAACTCTATAGGGTTATTACAGAAAATAACTTGCGTGTGTTATTACAGATACTTTCATGATCATGAGTTGTCTACTCTTTATTCCTTAAATTTTCTAAATCTGTAATAACATATGTTTGTTATTTGTAAAATTATTTCATTTATAGTGGCCTCTAGGGATCACTTGAGACTTTGCGCAGAAACTAAATGCATAGCCTTGATAACTAATTTTTTAATTAAATTAATACATTTTTGATTAACCATGGTAAATCAATGAGACAAGGCTATTAAGGGATAAACTTAGCTGTGATAACAAGGCTCAGTTATTAAAGGAATTTAACTTATTATATAAGACACTTGGGAATTACTGAGAAACTTGCGCAGAACCTCATTACATGCTCTGGTCATTATTTCTTACAATAAATTAAAATACATTGTAATTAAGCATGATGTATGTCTGAGCAAATGCTTTGAAGTGATATAGAGAAGCTGTGATAACACCCTTTAGTTATTACAGGCATATTTTTTCTGTAATAACATATAGGTGTACTATGCAAAATTGGCAAACTATGAACTGTTATATCTTTCAATAGTTAAGTATACATATAGGCAAAAGTAATATCAATAGAACTTTTAAACATTTTAACTAAACTAATGATGTATATTGTCCCTTTGAAACATATAACATACATAAGTTATCACAGTTCTTTGATTTTTTAGTCCATAGTAACAAATGTATGTTATTTTTCTGTAATAACCCTATAGAGTTATATCCCTGACTGTATAATGGTTTATTTCTATAAATTGTGACTAAGATGGAGAGTTGTCTCGTTGGCACTCATACCACATCTTCTTATATCTAGTTTACATTTATATGCTATTAGCTTTTTAATACCTAGTATGCTTTTAGCTTTAATACCTAGCTTATCATGCTTATATTCTGCTTATCACCACCATGCTTTTGGTGCTTCATTTGTGCTGTGTAATTTATTGCATGTGTATTACATCTACATCGTACGACGAGCCATCAGCACATTGATGACTATACGTCGGTGCATCACAAACAGACATATTATTAAAAGATAACAATTTTAAAAGAGTGCAATAATCAAAAATAATTTTGTGCAAAAATAAAAAATAAACACATTTACATATATTTACAAACAGGGTAGATATTTAAATATACATGTACTGACTTTGGATTAGTATTTTAAACTGATCCAAAGAGTTGACGCTGATGTTGTTTTGTGGAAGTGAATTCGAGAGTACAACTGTGTATGGGAAAAAGCTGTACTTAAAGTAATCCTGGTGTTTTTGACTGGCTGTGGTGAAAGGTAAAGGTTTAGATCTACTGCTATAAGGTGGTGTGTAATTTTATACATCATTGTTACTCGATTGATGTTTCTATGAGTTTCTAGTGACTTCCATTTTAGATGGTCAATCATGGAAGTGACACTACTGGTGTTATGGTACCTGTTGGTGACATAACGTGCTGCCCTTCTCTGTACTTTTTCAATGTTGTTTTTTTGTTTTTGGGTGTTAGGAGACCAAACTGAAGAGCAGTATTCTAGGTTAGAATGTACCATAGATTTATAAGCCAAACTTTTTGTTTCTTCTTGGTTTATTTTTAGGTTTCTTTTTTTAAAAGCCCAAAATCTTAATCGCTTTAGCTGTGATGTTGTTTATATGAGTATCCCATGACATGTTGTTGCATAAGGTGATACCAAGATATCTTGCTGTGTTGACGGATTCTAAAATGTGGCCTTTAAGTACATCATGTACATAGTTATGTTTGTATAGTGACTGTGATCGTGTTACAATGAGGGAATTGCATTTTTCTGGGTGAAATTGCATACCCAAAGTTTGTTCCCATTTGGCTAGGCAGTCTAAGTGATTTTGTAGGATGTTACAATCTTGCTGATTTTTAATTGTTCTGTATAAAATACAGTCATCTGCAAACAAGCATGTTTTTGATGTAACTGTTGCAGGAAGGTCATTTATGAAAATCAGGAAAAGAAGAGAACCCAAGACTGAGCCTTGAGGCACCCCACTGACCACAGGCATTTGACTAGATACCTCCCCATCTAGGACAACCTGTTGCATTCTGTTATTAAGGAAGGCTGATACCCAATTCCAGGTATTTCCCCTTATGCCATAATTATCCATCTTCCTTAATGATTTTTTGTGAGGCACCATGTCAAATGCCTTGGAGAAGTCTAAAATTATAAGGTCTGTTTGTATGCCATTAATGAAGGTTACTGAGTAGTTCATGACTTAATGTAAGAAGTTGTGTTTCACAGCTGCTTTTTGCTCTAAAGCCATGTTGATTGTCCACTAGTATGTTATTTGTGTCCAGATGTTTTAGTATGTTACTTACTACAATGTGTTCTAGCAGTTTGCAGCATAAACACATTAGGGAGACAGGCCTGTAGTTACTGGCTAGGTATTTTTCACTTTTTTTTAAAAATAGGAATTACATTTGCCTGTCTCCATTCTGATGGTACATCTCCTTTCAAAAATGGTGTGTTAAAAATGAAAGTGAGATGTGGTGCAAATTTAGAAGCAAATTGTTTTAGGATGCGTGCTGGTATTTAATAATTTCATCTGGGCCTGTGGCTTAAGATGGATCAAGATTTTTTAAAAGTTTTTCTATACCATTTGATGTTACATGTATTTCTGACATAGATGGTTAGTTGTCTGAAAGAGTTGGTATTTGTTCATTGTCATTTTCGGGGTGTAAAAACAGAGTGATATTGTTTATTAAGTATTTCAACTTTTTGTTTTGTGTCATAATCAGCATACACTCAGAGCTTAACGGTGCAACTCCTGAACTGTCTTTTTTTATGGATCTGATGTAATTCCAAAAATTTTCCTGTTTTTGTGTAGTTTCTGGGCTTTCGTCATAGCAAACAATGTTTTCTAAATAAGTCCAGTAGGCTTTTCTTGTCTCTTTCTGAAGTAGTTTTTTTGTTTCCCTGTACTGTTTTTATTGTGAGAGTCCGTTTTCATTTTTTTGAACAATTTTTTCCTTTTTCTAATAAGTGATTTTATCTCTTTATTAACCCATGGTAGTTTCTGTTTTGTGTTATTTATCATTTTAGTTGGAATAGACTCTTCCAAGGTCATGGTTTTCAATATACTATTGTTTTGAAGTTATCCCAAAGTTGAACCATTGTACATAAGTTCTTCTATTTTTGCAATATTGTTAAGATTTATGTTATTTATCTTTTCTTTAATTTGATCATTGTTTGCCTTGTTGTATAGGATGATGGGAATACTAGGTGTTTTTTTTTGCCCTTCTACTCTAGGTTTTAAGTTCGATTCGATGTATACAATTTTGTGATCTGATATTCCAGGAATAACTATTATGTGTCGTATTGTTATAAATGTCTTGTATGTTGGCTAAAAGCTCATTACAGCTTATGTTGTCTTTGTTTGTATACTTTGCCGACTCTACATAAAGCTTATTTATTAGACTAGAGAGCCTCAACAACTTGTGTTGCTCTCATGTCCCTTGACTTTTAGATAAATAATTTCAGCGCCTATAGGCTATGTTCCGTTGCATTTGGTGCCATTTACTTGGTCCTGCAACGTGTTTGAACAGACCCAGATGCAATACTGAGTATTGGCAAATATTGGCAATGCCAATACTGCCAATAGTCAAACTTAAAATTGAGAAAAGGGGCGTTCCCACAACAAGGAAAACATCTTCCAATGTATTTGTCATATCATGAAGTTATGATGTAAAAAAATGTTATTTGTGCAATGATAAGGAAACGGAATCAATCCGCTGTATAACCTTCACTTGAAGAGCTAAGCACTAGCAGACAATTCACTCGAGATGCTGACATTCTCTAAAAAAGGGACTCTATGGTATGGGGAAAACAACCATAAATTAAGAGTACGAATATGACAAAACTCCCTCCTTTATAGGAGCACCGCTTGTGGACGTTCTTCGAATAACAGTCAAAAGTAACATTTCTTTTTTTCTTAATCTAGGCTCTCTATCATTGAGCCAGTACTTAATTTTTTTTGTTCGTGCACATTAAAAAAAAAACCTTTTAGACAGTAAAGCGGGAGCTATAACTAACCAGAAAAATATACAACCGTCAGGCGTATATATCGTAATTTTGTAATAAACAACGCCACAATATTTGATCCATTTATTTTTTTAACAAATATTCTATACCATTTATTTTTTAAGGAACAAATTCTGTTACATTTTTTCCAGTGTAATATATATCCCGGCCAGGGAAGAACAAAAAAATTTGCTTCCGCAAATTTACAGATTTAACAATGTTGGGCTGTTATTTAATTATATATACAGAATGTGTTTTCAGCCTTGTATCACCATCACTGGTGATCCGATGGATAAAATCTGTCGTAGAGTTGTCACTGGTTCAGACGTACTTATAATCATGCCAAGAAATTGCCTCCGTTGAAATTTTGCAAACATCCCATAGAGCAAATTACATGGATGATTAATATTGACCATTTGGTATATGGCCGTGTTCTAAGCGACACGTACTTGCAGGTCATAAATTAATTTGTTGAATGAAATCAAATCTTTAACTACTAATAGGTGCCGTAAGAGGTCCACCGGAATTTTTAGCGAGGATTTCTTGGCATGTAACAGATAGAAAACTCAGGATTACAATTTATAGAACAGACAAGGGGCAGTGGCAAATATTTCGTGTATATTATGAACACAGAGAAGATTACCCCGGCACCCTTTGCAAACAAAAATCCTTCTTTTTCTTCTATGTGCCTTCGGACTTTATGTTTTGAACTGTAGTTTCACTTTCCATATTCGGTATTCATTCTAATGTAAGCTCCACGTGGCAAAAATCACGTGATGCAGGAATGTAGTATCTTGGAGTTAGACTATTTCTTTCTTTTCGGGCGGGGACTCCAAGCAGACAACATGCATTTATATAACGGCACTGTAGATTTTCTTATTAAATAAAGAAAGTTCCCGGTCCGGTACATGAATAGATTGGTTAGAAAGCAAGATTTTAATTTTAATTAGATTGGAAAGCCTTATTTGGGGGTTGAAATTGGAGAGCACCAAAAAAAGAAAGGGGGGGGGGGAGTGTTCCACAGGGAATATTTTTATCTTATGAACTCAACATTCGAAAGTTTTTTTTTTTTATTTAATTAAAAGAGAGAAAAACAAATGTAAGACAAATTGTGAATGATCTTTCTTCCTTTATCACGTGAGGGAATCTCGCATATATCTGGTTTACCGTCAAACTGAGCACATGTCTTTTGGTTATTTCTGTCACTAGGTGGCTGTCTCATTGACGTTTACCCCATATTTTTTCATTGAAGCACAGTGCTCACGTATATGTTTTAGAACATGAAGTTAAGGTTAAACTTTCATGTCATGAATAATAAAGTGGAAAAAAAGCAAAAAAAGAGACCCAAAGAACTAAATAGAAAAAGACGAAATGATCTGATTTTCAAAAATGACCTGTTTGGTCGCTCGTAATCGATTGTCTACAAACATAGTTCCTGTCATTTGTAATGAATGTAAACTTTAATATCTGTGGGTTTTTTTTCATATAAAATTTTATGTTTAAAATTATTAGTTATGTTATTTCTTTTATAGTGGATTTTTTTTAAGATATTTTTTATTATGCTTTAGAACATTAGGGCATTGTGGGACTATGTGTCAAAGGTGTATGATTGAGGGGCAACTCGTTCTATAAAAGCCGTGACTGGTCGCATGTGTCTTGTGACATCATTTCATGTCTAAGCAGTCCCAAATAAGTACATTTTTGAGTATACGCCAAGACGAGCATCATATTTTCAACTTTTGTTTCATTTTGTAGACTGTGTACCTCAAATTTTTTAACTGAAAAAAAAAAAATGTCTTCATCGGGAACTCTCCAGCTGAAACCTACACTCTTCAGTTTAGCAGGGACAATACTCTGTTTTTTTAATTTTGTCATTTTTGCGCATGGGATCGTTAAAGACACTGTCAGTGGTTCAAAGTATTGCTTGTCAAAGACATGTCTACTAAGTTAGCGAATGCTGCATTCGAATAGGGACTGTTCTATTCATTCTCAGAAATTTTGCAATCTTTTGACATAGAAATTACCCTTTTCTGTTTAAAATAGATATTCTACATTATAAGGTGTCGACATTAAGTTAGTAATGGAACTTGAATAACTTTTAAAAGTTTAATTTGTATTAAGCCTTTAACAAAAGGTTGCCACATATGTAATATGATGGACACACCAACCTTTAAAGACAGGTCCCTTTAATGTTGCCTTATCCTCGGAAATCTTAACTATCTGCTCAATACTTATTGCTTTCCCTTAAAATAGCTGACAAATATTTAAAATAGTTCTGCTTTAAAATTCATCTATTCTCCTAGTTATTCAAAATTATAAGAGGTTAAGCTTTTTCATGTCCAACGGCACATATTACAGTGTTATCCGGATTCACCATTATACGATGCGGGAAAATTGCTATTGTCAAATTCAATTTAAAAAAAATAGATTCGTGTTTAAAAAAACTACGAGATGTGTTTGAAACGTCTAAGATATACAATGATTGATGTATTCATTGTTGGTCTTTAACGCCACTTTTATCATTATTTTCTATTTCATGGTGACCAGCTTTTTTTGTGTGTAGAAAGCTGGGACGCCCGGAGAGAACCACTGACCTTCGGCAAGGAAACTGTCAATCCTAGTCAATTAAGATTGGAGTCGAACCAAGCTACCACGTGTAGGGTTCGAACTCTGAGATAAGCAATGAAGCAGTAATTTTCACTAATGAAAGAAACTTGTTTCTCACTTTATCCAGTTTTCGTTTGATATATAGTTTTATTTTATATTATTCAAGTTGAAGAAGCCAAGACGTTTTAAAACGAATTGAAGAAAAAAAGGTAGCCAAGTGCATAGTTCTTTCAAACATATTCTTTTATCGCTGAGATGCTGTCTCGTCATGCCAAGAAATTGCCTCCGTTGAAATTTTGCAAACATCCCATAGAGCAAATTACATGGATGATTAATATTGACCATTTGGTATATGGCCGTGTTCTAAGCGACACGTACTTGCAGGTCATAAATTAATTTGTTGAATGAAATCAAATCTTTAACTACTAATAGGTGCCGTAAGAGGTCCACCGGAATTTTTAGCGAGGATTTCTTGGCATGTAACAGATAGAAAACTATTTCTTTCTTTTCGGGCGGGGACTCCAAGCAGACAACATGCATTTATATAACGGCACTGTAGATTTTCTTATTAAATAAAGAAAGTTCCCGGTCCGGTACATGAATAGATTGGTTAGAAAGCAAGATTTTAATTTTAATTAGATTGGAAAGCCTTATTTGGGGGTTGAAATTGGAGAGCACCAAAAAAAGAAAGGGGGGGGGGGAGTGTTCCACAGGGAATATTTTTATCTTATGAACTCAACATTCGAAAGTTTTTTTTTTTTATTTAATTAAAAGAGAGAAAAACAAATGTAAGACAAATTGTGAATGATCTTTCTTCCTTTATCACGTGAGGGAATCTCGCATATATCTGGTTTACCGTCAAACTGAGCACATGTCTTTTGGTTATTTCTGTCACTAGGTGGCTGTCTCATTGACGTTTACCCCATATTTTTTCATTGAAGCACAGTGCTCACGTATATGTTTTAGAACATGAAGTTAAGGTTAAACTTTCATGTCATGAATAATAAAGTGGAAAAAAAGCAAAAAAAGAGACCCAAAGAACTAAATAGAAAAAGACGAAATGATCTGATTTTCAAAAATGACCTGTTTGGTCGCTCGTAATCGATTGTCTACAAACATAGTTCCTGTCATTTGTAATGAATGTAAACTTTAATATCTGTGGGTTTTTTTTCATATAAAATTTTATGTTTAAAATTATTAGTTATGTTATTTCTTTTATAGTGGATTTTTTTTAAGATATTTTTTATTATGCTTTAGAACATTAGGGCATTGTGGGACTATGTGTCAAAGGTGTATGATTGAGGGGCAACTCGTTCTATAAAAGCCGTGACTGGTCGCATGTGTCTTGTGACATCATTTCATGTCTAAGCAGTCCCAAATAAGTACATTTTTGAGTATACGCCAAGACGAGCATCATATTTTCAACTTTTGTTTCATTTTGTAGACTGTGTACCTCAAATTTTTTAACTGAAAAAAAAAAAATGTCTTCATCGGGAACTCTCCAGCTGAAACCTACACTCTTCAGTTTAGCAGGGACAATACTCTGTTTTTTTAATTTTGTCATTTTTGCGCATGGGATCGTTAAAGACACTGTCAGTGGTTCAAAGTATTGCTTGTCAAAGACATGTCTACTAAGTTAGCGAATGCTGCATTCGAATAGGGACTGTTCTATTCATTCTCAGAAATTTTGCAATCTTTTGACATAGAAATTACCCTTTTCTGTTTAAAATAGATATTCTACATTATAAGGTGTCGACATTAAGTTAGTAATGGAACTTGAATAACTTTTAAAAGTTTAATTTGTATTAAGCCTTTAACAAAAGGTTGCCACATATGTAATATGATGGACACACCAACCTTTAAAGACAGGTCCCTTTAATGTTGCCTTATCCTCGGAAATCTTAACTATCTGCTCAATACTTATTGCTTTCCCTTAAAATAGCTGACAAATATTTAAAATAGTTCTGCTTTAAAATTCATCTATTCTCCTAGTTATTCAAAATTATAAGAGGTTAAGCTTTTTCATGTCCAACGGCACATATTACAGTGTTATCCGGATTCACCATTATACGATGCGGGAAAATTGCTATTGTCAAATTCAATTTAAAAAAAATAGATTCGTGTTTAAAAAAACTACGAGATGTGTTTGAAACGTCTAAGATATACAATGATTGATGTATTCATTGTTGGT